TCCTCCACTTGCACCTGCTGATGTGACCTTGTGTCAGTCACAAGCTCTGGCACAGCTGTCCTTGAAAAAGAGCCGTTTGTGTCAGAGTTCTCTCAGCCCCACCCACCTCACAGGGTGTCTGTTGTGAAGAGGGGAAGGGATAGGAGTTTGTAAACCGCTCTGAGACTCCAAGTGAAGGGCGGGTATAAATCCAATCTCTTCTTCTTCTTCTAAAATGTGTCCAATCTCCAGGTGAGGGTTGGAGATCCTTCAGAATTACAACTGCTTTCCAGATGGCAAAGATCAGTTCCCCTGGAGAAAATGGTGGGCTCTGTATCCTTATATGCTGCTGAGGTGCCCCCCATATGACAGCCAATGTGACGTAACGGTCAGGGCTTCAGAGCACAGGAGAGGCTGCAGGTGGGTGGGGGGTGGAAAGCTGAAGAGTGAGGGGGAAATAAAGGTAGGTTGATGATTGGCTGGGAAGGAAATAGGTTGCCAACTCCAGGTGGGAAATTCCTGGAGATGTGAGGGATGGAGCCTGGAGAGGGTGAGGTTTCAGGAGGCGTGGGACCTCGGACAGGTACAAAGCCATAGACTCCACCCTCCAAACCAACCATTCCCTTCTGGGGAACCATCGTTGCCAATCCCCAGGTGAGGGCTGGAGATCACTCAAAATTACAACTGTTCTTTAGGTAGCAGAGATCAGTTCCTCTGGAGAAAATGGTGGACTCAGTGTCATTATACCCTCCTGAGGTCGCCACAGCAAACTGACACTGAGTGTCCAAGGCTGGGGCACCCGCCCAGAGCCTCTTTCTAGAGGCCGTTGTATTTATTTCCACAACAGGACTTTTTCCTAGTAGTGTATACTTCAGAAAGAACAAGGAATATTCCAAGACTGTGGGAAGACTTCACTCAAGCTGAGGTGGGGTGTTCGCCCAAAAGCCCCGAACATTTTCAGCCAATAGGAATCAGGGGAGGTGACCTGCTAAGTACCAGCCCATCCTAAGCTGATAAAATGAACGTTTGCTAGTATGAACTTTTGCCAGATATATTTAATTAACTGGAATGTCAAAAGACCTAGACATATATGTTTAGGCTTTAGAGCCTGGCACTTGGAAGGGCGGGGAATGTCAAATATGAATTTGAACAAAGGCACATCTACAGGGCAAGGCTTTAGTTTTTATACCTAGGCTGCCAGCAAAAGAGCAAAGACTTATGGGACAAATAACCTAACAGAGAGACATAAGTTAATTCAAACTAATATACCAGAATACAGAAAGACAGGAATCACCCAGTCTCATTTATAATTCTGCCACAGCCTGATTTTCAAAATCTTAGTCACACCTGTAACAATTAGTCTTCTAAAATTTGTTTACTTACACTCATTAAATAAAAAAACTCATCCATCAATCCCATCTCATTTTACATTCTATATATACATGTGTCGTTTCTCTATCCAAGGATATGACATTCCTAAGATTAATTCTACTAACTTATCGTATTCTCTTATCGAGCTTCATAAATCTATTCACAATCATTTTATAAATACAGATTGTCAATTCAACAGCCTTATAATGGATTTCTATAAATCATATGCCTCAATATTTTTTTAAAAAAATACCTACTTGGATTATTCTGGCCAACTGTGTTATTGATATTACTAATTATACTTTATAGAATAAGTGTACACACAAAATCTTTAATATATAATTGACTTGCTTTCCAAGAAAAAAAGACAGCACTTTAATTCTTAATATTGCTCTGATAAGTATAGAAACCTTTAATTCAGTTGTAAGCATATGAAAAATAATTCCAAACATTTTTTCTTCAGAACCTCAAGACGAAAGTTAACCCATCTCTGAGCTAGAAGTGGAAGTTCCTTAAAATTACAGTTCTATGTATACCCATACAACCAGTTTCAGACAGTATTCCTTAGGGTCCAAAAGCCATTTCACAATTGTCGACTTCTATGCCTTCAGTGTACCTAAAGTTGTATCAATGCATTACATAGCTATTAGTCTACTTGGATAAGGCCATAAAATGTAAAGCTGGCAAGTAGTAAAATAGATTTTTATACCCAATTAAACCATTGGGGGGGAGGGACCAAAAAACAAAACAAAACAAAAGCTATACTGAAATCCAAGTGTAGGTCGAGACTTACAGATGAACATTTACATGACTTTTAAGGATGTCTTTCACAAACCTTGACTTGGACATTAATACCTTGGCTAACAGAAAACAGCCAAAAAATCACACTGACTAGGTAAGCATGTGTAGCTTGATAAAAAGATCCCGCAGTAAAATATTGTTCTAAAATGGATTGTGTTCAAGTTAACATTTCTTCATTGATCTCTGAATATTTACTTTTGATTTAAATAGGTAGGTTAATAATTTTGTTACATTTTGATTTAAGATGTGGCCCTTTTTAGTCATTGGACACTCTAATGCAGCCCTTGTGTGCCAGAAGGTTGGGGACCCCTGTCCAAAATGCATGCATAGTTCAATGTGTTGTTCTATTCCATGGTTTCCCAACTTTATTCAGCTTGCAAGCACACTTGGAATTTTGAAAAGGAGTAGGTGGTACCACTACAAAATGACTGATAAAGAGCAGGACCAGTAACACAATGCTGGACACAAGGGGCACAGATAATCAGAAAATGTAGGAAAGTTCAAAGCCAACAGTCTTTCTGTAAAGGAAGCAGCTGCTTCCAAATGAATGCTTCCAGAAGATGGAAAGGTGACGCTCCTGTGCTTTTCTAAAGTACCTCCTGCTCCAAGGAGGTAGAAAAAAGCTGAGATCAGTTCTGTGTTTTGGCAAAGAAATATTCTTTTGTTTCAGTTGTGAAAGACAGAGAAGGGTTTGCTCCTTGCACAGGGGGAGTCCGAAGTCTGAAGACATAAGGACATCCAAGTCTATAGTCAAGATGAGAGTGTACAGCTGTGACCAGTGTTCCCTTTAAGCTGAGTTAGTGTGAGCTAGGTCACAGTTTTTTAACCTCCAGCTCACACATTTCTGTCTTAGCTCAGAGAGGATGGCTCCAGAGCAAACTAATTTATGCAGTAGCCAAATCACTTGCTCACAACTTTAATACCAGAAGCTTACAAAGTAGAATGTTTGCTCACAAGACTCCACAGCTTAGAGGAAACATTGGTTGTGACACGCCTCAATTGAATGAGCTCAACTTTTTGGCAGCCAGTAAGTGGGTAGGAAGCAAGCTCCCATTTATTTTTTCTGTTGTACTCAACACCCTTTGGATATGATTCCTCAAGAACTGAGCAGCAAACAGGTACCAGGAAATACATGGATGGTGCCCATTGGTGCCATACTGGGAATCACTGAAAGCCTGGGGAAGATGAGGTTATTTAGTGATGATATACCCTATTACTTAGAAATGGGTATCAAAGAAATGAATATATACTCACAGGCCCCGGCCACACGTGCCGGAAAACGTGGGGGGGAGGCGTGGCTATTTGCGCCGTCGCATTCTGATCAACCATTATGCGATCAGATGCGATGGTGGCACACAGGGGTTTTGTCCTTTGGTGTGCGCTGCAAAGAGGACGGCCAGAGGGAATAGGCGTGCGCCGGTGCGATCACACTGAACGAGCTTGTCTGCAGCCCATGGCAAACCATTTGCTAGTAGATCTTTGCAGGTACTTTTTAACTGAGCATCTTCGGCAGTGTGCCACGGGTTGGCCACGGGTGCACTACACTTCCCAGATATTGCGGTGTGATTGCGCCCTGAAAATCCACCCAGCATTTGTGCCTTTCACGTGGCAAATTCTCCGTGTGACCGGGGCCACAATTAACTTGCCCATAGTCCTAAACACATTTGGAAGAAAGTCCTATTGACTTCCAAATTCAACTGACTGAAATTAGGGTGTTAGTAAGTAAGAAGCAACAATGTGTGATAAAAATAATGCTTTAACAACGATATACAGTTGAAAAAGAATGAGAATAGCTTGAAGTTTCATAGGTAAATGATGAATGAGCTGCATAAATCTAGAACAAGTAGGGTTGCCAAGTGATTCTTCGCCGGGAGCGGGGGGCTCCCGGCCAGCGTCGGGTGTGCATGCATGCGCTGCTGCATGCACATCACCCGGAAGTGACACAGGCACGCTGGGCACGCTGGGGGTGGGGCGATGGCCATACAAGGGAAATCCATAGGGTTTTCCCTTGTATGGCCGTGGCCCCACCCCCAGCGTGCCCAGCATGCCTGCGTCACTTCCAGGTGACGCGCACGCCGGGGCAGAGTTCCCCCCAGGGCCCGATTTCGCAGTGGCAGAAATCGGGCCTCCAAAGCGGGGGTTTACTCGCCCCCCGCCCCCACTTGGCAGCCCTAAGAACAAGGTTTAATTGAACACTGATTATTTCTACACCACTTGATCAAAAATCTTAAGAGCATAATGAATTTGCAAAAAGCTGACACCTACATTTTCAGATCAAGTAAATGCAACCATATATGCCAGTTTCACCCTGCCAACAAAAGTCCGCATGGTCAAAGCAATGGTATTCCCAGTAGTCATTTTGGCTGTGAGAGTTGGACTATAAGGAAGGCCGAGCACCGAAGAATAGATTCTTTTGAACTATGGTGCTGGAGAAGACTCTTGAGAGTCCCTTGGACTGCAAGAAGATCAAATCAGTCAATCCTAAAAGTAATCAACCCTGACTGTTCCCTGGAAGGCCAGATAATGAAACTGAAGCTCAAATACTTTGGCCACCAAATGAGAAGGGAGCACTCACTGGAGAAGACCCTGATGCTGGGAAAGATTGAAGGTCAAAGAAGACGGGGACGGCAAAGGATGAGATGGTTAGACAGTGTCACAGATGCAACGGACATGAAATTGAGCCAACTTCAGAGGACGGTGGAAGACAGGAAGGCCTGGCATGATCTGGTCCATGGGGTCGCAAAGAGTCGGACTCGACTGTGCGACTGAACAACAACAAAATGCCAGTTTAGCATACCACACAACCAAATGGTGTTGCAAATTTTAGGATCCTTATTTTGGAACTACGACTAAGCAAACATAACCTAAGCAAACATAAAGAAAAGATACACTCAACATACCATGGCAAACTACAATGGAGGAAAATGAAAGAGCGAACAGATTTTACAATACTAGCAAGGAGAGAAGGCAAAACACAAAAGTAGAATGGATGTGATGTTTTATATTTAGCTTTAGTGGGTAGGCAGTGAAATCCCCTTTGTGCTGTCTTCTTTGATAGTCAGTGGGAGAGATCAAATGCTGATGAAATGGTAGTGAAGTCTCAGCAATTTATTTTAATGGGCTGAAGTATGAGTCATTTTTTTCCAAAAGAAATCTTAATTTATTGTCTGTACAGAAGCATCCATTTTTGTTGTTCTCTGCAAAGCTTAAACAAGAAATTGTCATCTTTAAAGCCATCTATTTATAACCAGAACCCCTTTTTATTCCTGTTAATTGCAGTAAGAATGTTTGCTACCAAGTTTTCATCAGAAGGCTTACACTGACTGTACTGCTGGTGTCTTAGTTGGAACAGAGTAGCTCATTTGAGACATAAAAATGATTTCAAAGTGAAATATTTTCATCCTTCCTCTGCATCAGCATTTTTGCAAGCTGCAGGCAACACACTGCATCTGCAGTGAATCATCCAGGATGACGGTTTTAATGAGGGAAGGGACAGCAGAAATATAAGGTGCAACACAACAGCTCCATTCTAATAACATCACTAGAGTGTTTTTTCTTCCCTCAACCACATTAACTTTCATGCAGTAGTGGTCACAACTGGCTATGATCCAAATTAAGATGGAAAGTGTTACTTCAGCAATGCACACAAGGCTTTACCCAAACAGCTAAGTCCTGATGCTTGAAAAAAGCAGTAAGAAAGATCCCGAAACAAAATATAGATCCTAAAACAAAAAAGACAGCACACCAGAAAATCCCATTTCTTAAACCACTACCAATCCAGTGTAGATTCTGGCACAGCAAACATACATCAGTGTTCCAATGTGCCGTCTGGATGCCATAATGTCTACTGGCATGGAACTAACACACCAAACAATGTGCAGATATGCAACCGTCCAGAAATGATCAAACATTTTTCAACCATTACCTAGTGTAAAATAAAAGCTTCACACCAGAAAGCCAAGTGAGTGGATTTACCCAGAAACATACAGTTTTTCAGATGATAATGTTTGCAAGAATGTCAACCATAATCCTTGTATCAACACATTGTCTTGGCTGATGCATATATAAATATTTGATTCAACACCTCTACAATATGAACAAACAATGTGCTTGATAATCAGTTCTGTGTTGGTGGATATTGAGTTAAATGATCTTTCGTCTCTTACCATCGACACAGGCTGGCCTCGCTCTTGTTGTACCGGCAATCTGTCCCTTTTTACATGCACACCGAGCTGTTTGTCGGGCTATAGTCCTTCGAGGCTGACTGCTATCTCTGTCCAAAGTAACAATTTCACATGTACCTGCAGCCAATTGACCTGGAAAAAAGAACCAGCAACAGGTACCATAGTCACTGAATGCACTACAGGAAATCTATTTCAGCCAGTCATGTCATAGCAGACAATCTACAACTGGAAAGTCAGATGAATAATAAAAAGAGAAACTGCATGCATTTTTCCTTGTGAATGATAAGTGAAAATCTGGAGAACTAGCCAGAAAAAAAAAAATTGCTGCTATTCTATAAATGGTATAATAAAATAAGTTACTGTTACCTTTATTTTAGAAGAACATAATTTTGTAGTTGTTAAATGAAACACATTGCTAGTGCCTTTCAGCATGATTATGGCAAATGTACAATAAAGAAAGAACTAAAAACATAAGAGAGCAATCCAAAGGATATCTATCCGTTTTTTTGGGGGAGGGGCAAAGTCCTAATTTGTGGGGTGCTACCTTCCAGCCTTTTGGTCAAATACAGTTTCAAAAATATAATAATTCAGAGTTTGATATAATTTTTTGCACATTCACTTCCATTCCTAAACTTCAGAAGAAGTTATATGATTACCTCAATTCCCATTAAAACTGAGTGAAGTGATATTATCAACCTGCACATTTCAAATTATATTTTCTTCCTGTGTTTATTAACAAGAATTATCACAAAACAAAACATTTTAAAGAAAATGTAGAAAGTTACGCAGTGCATTACTATTTAATATAAAGTTGAACATCTTTTACACAGCCCCTGGATTTCAACATTTAAGACCAGATAGGTGCCAATAAATGCATATGTGTTTTACAAATAAGATCCCATAAGATCTAATTATAATATGTTATAGTATATGACACATGATGCATATGAGTGTGTGCATTATATAAATGTCTTTTAGTTAAGTAGGTAGTTTTATATCTGTCTTCTAGATACACAAGAATTATTGGGTGCTGAGGCACTAAATAAACACAGAAGGAGGATTTTACAGGTATACTGAATTTTTCAGTATATTACAACACAACAAAAATTTAAATATGCAGAACAACCTCAGGGAACAGTTAGCATATCTGTGGCATTTACAAGAATCTCAGAAAATGGAAACAATTCTTGCACATAAAAGACAAAGAAAAGTTCAACAGTGGAGTCTGAAAATGATCATACTAGCATTCATTTTAACAATTCTTCTTTACATAATATATAACTCAATTCAAATTTTTGTCATTACTGTTGCCTAGTAAACGGTGGGTAACAAACCTGAGAGCCAGTTTGGTGTAGTGGTTAAGTGCGCGGACTCTAATCTGGGAGAACCGGGTTTGATTCCCCACTCCTCCACTTGTACCTGGCTGGATGACCTTGGGCAAGCCATAGTTCTGGCACAGCTGTTCTTGAAAAAGGGCAGTTTTTGTCAGAGCTCTCTCAGCCCCACCTACCTCACAGGGTGTCTGTTGTGGGGAGGGGAAGGGAAAGGAGTTTATAAGCCGCTCTGAGACTCCTTTGGGTAGTGAAGGGTGGGGTATAAATCCAATCTCCTCTTCTTCTCTAGGAAACATGAGCATGAAAGAGCTGACTTTTGCAGAGTAACAAAATATACTTTCTTCACTCATTCTTTAGCTCATCATGGCAAGTGCTATGATATGTTAAGGATGAACCAAGGATGTAATCAAATTCTAATCTACTGTAAGAAAATTCTAATATACAATGGGTGAGGTGAGTGAAATACTAAGGCTTCTTGGGCAAAAGGCTAAATCAAGAAAGTACTTGACTAATTAAAACATTTCTAGACTCTTCCAATAGCCCAGGGCATCTTACATTCAGATTAAAACAATATAAATGAGATCACCCAAAGAAACCCAGCCATCAAAGGGGAACAAGTGGTAATATTCTCCCTAATGGGGACCCAACACAACTTATTATTCCCTTTCCCTCCTTTTATCCTCACTAGAACCCTATGAGTAGGGTTGCCAACTCTGTGTTGGGAAATACCTAGAAATGTTTGGGGAGGCGCCCAAGGAGAGCGGGGTTTGGGGAGGGAAGGGACTTCAGTAGGGTATAAAGCAATGGAGTTTACAATCCAAAGCATACATTTTCTCCATGTGAACTAGGGCTGCCAAGTGGGGGCGGGTAAACCCCCGCTTTGGAGGCCCGATTTCCGCCGCCACGGAATCAGGCCCCGGGGGGAACCCCACCCCCACGTGCGTGTCACCAGGAAATGACGTGGGCACGCTGGGCACACTGGGGGCGGGGCCACGGCCATACAAGGGAAAACTCTATGGTTTTCCCTTGTATGGCCATGGCCCCGCCCCCAGCATGCCCGGCGTCCTCCCGTCACTTCCGGGTGATGTGCGTGCGGGGCACGCGCGCACGCGCACGCACAAGACGCTGGCCGGGAGCCCCCCGCTCCCGGCGAAGATACACTTGGCAACCCTAATGTGAACTGATCTCTACTGCCCGGAGGTCAGTTGTAATAGCAGAAGATCTCCAGTCACCACTGGAAGTCTAGCAACCCTATCTATGAGATAGGTTAGACTGTGAGTGTGGCCAAAGGTCACACAGAGAGCTAAAATAGCAGACTGAGGATTCAAACCCAATTTTCTCAGATCCTAGTCCAACAGAATGAAAACACCACAAACTTCCATTGGAAGAAGTCTCCTTACACTGGAAGAAGGATTCAGCTTTTGCTACACGGTGTATAGGCATGCAACCATTACATCATTACACAGTAGTACAGAAGAAACACAGAAAAAGATTATTCTTTTTCAGTATACTTTTTCACATTAAGCTAAGCATGGTGACATTTTATCACCAGAAGCTCCTGTTCTCCATAGCCCTTGATATGACTTCTTCCTGCTCAGCCCTCCAGCAGAACTTACACCTGGGAGCACTGTTAGGTCTTTCTCGTCCAACAGTCAGCCTGGTGAACCAGGGGGCAGGACACCAGATCTCCTTCAAGCTCTTTGAGAAGGCTCCTTCCCTCTGCTTCCCCACCATTCCAGCCTTCTCTCTCAATCTGAAAAGTAGCTGAATCACAGAAGAGGCCTTTGTTGTGTCATTAGGCTTGCCAGTCCGCAGGTGGGGGCAGGGGGATCCCCTGATTTAGCCCCAACCCCAACAGTGGAAACTTCACCCCCAACAGTGACCACCAGTGGCAACCCCTCTCCCTCCCTTCCTGTGAGATTTAAAGGGCCCTCCAGCTGATTGGTGGGAGCACGTAGCCTGGCAATCAGCTGAATGGCCCTTTAAATCTTGCAGAAAGGGAGGGGCAGCCACTGGCCGCACAACTAAACAGGAGCGAGCAGCCCTTGCTTACAAAAAAAATAAATAAAAATAAAGGGAACATTCCTTTTAAATAGGTTTTTTTTTTTGCAAGTGGAGGCCGCCCGTGCCTGAATTTCAAGCAGCAAATTCACTGCTTGAAGTTCAGGCATGCACGGTACCCTGCCCCACTTGCAAAAACCATTTGAAGGGAAGGTTCCTTTTAAATGGTACTTTTGGAAATGGGGCCCGCCTGTGTCTGAATTCCAAGCAGTGAATTCGTCACTTGGAGTTCAGATGTGTGTTGCACCCGGCCCACTTGCAAAAACAAGAAAAAAACATAAAGGGAAGGTTCCGTTTAAGTGGGGTTTTTTTTATTATTTTGCAAATGGGGACCACCTGCACCTGAATTTCAAGCAGCAAATACGCCACTTGGAGTTCAGACTTGTGTGGCAGCTGCTTGCAAAAACCATTTAATTCCCTTTAAAAAAAATTTGCAAGCAGGCGTCACCGGAGCCTTCCAAGGGGTTGCATCCTCAACATGATGTCATCGTGTCGGGGACATAGCTCTCCCCTCCGGGAATGCCTCCCCCAAGCCTACTACCAGCGACAAAGTAGGACCTGGCAACCCTAGGTGTCATACAAAAGCTGCCAGGATTCATGGGGCTTTGCTCTTATCAGCCATTATTAGTCCTTCATCTTCCTTTGATTCTTCATCTGTCCTGAACTAACCCTTGAAAATGACTCCTATCCCGTGACTAGACCTCTGAAGAGTCCAGTTCAACACGCTTCTACTATTCAGGCTCTCAGAAGGCAACAAGGCACTGACTCTGTGGACTGAACTAGGCAAGAAACAAGGTTCCCCAGAGAAGTTGAAGGACCTCCAGTTTTTGTTTCTTTGTTTGACTCAGTATGGAGCTCTTGCCATGTTCGGTCCCCTCTTCCCCAAATAAACCTACAGCAGATTATATTCTGATATCCACACATCTTCATTCCTCTGACAATCACCTGTTTTTTGGACCTGAACAAACTGATCTCTTGGGTTTTTCAGGAATTTCAAGGTATATCCCTCAGAGATCTTCAGTAGAGCTGGAAAAATCACTGGAGCTGGCCTACATTCCCAGAGTCAGTCATAACGGCATCATGGTGATGGCTCTTTCTTTCCTCAGGGCTTGAAGGGATTGGAGTTCTTGTTGAACATGGCGCCAGTTCTAGACTGTTGCCCCTGCAGCTTAAAACTCTTGTAGAACCAGTGAACAATTCAGGCTTGTTGTGAAAGGACTGGGACTTTTGGTGGTTCCTTCCTTCCTTCCCTTTTCCTAGTCGGGAGATTGGATTCCATCAAGTGTTTATCCAAAAAGCTTGTTCTCTGCACAGGGAGCACTAGCCAATCTGGTGTGAACTGTGGCATCCACCCCCCGGTACCTAAACCATGTATTTATTTATTTATTTATTATATTTACAACCCGCCATGATATTTGAGGTTGTGGCTCTGGCTGACAACTGGACAAAGTCAATGAAGACTGTTGCTAGGGAGACCTTTTTAAATTCATCCTTCAGCTCCTTAGGAACCTTTGAGGATGTCATTGCTAGGTCTCCCACCCACAGACAGATTGCTCGTGCAAACAAACAGATAGCCAAGGAAGCTCTTCGTCCACAAAACTCTTTCTTAGCACCAGAAACCATCTGAATTGTCCTGAATGACCAAGGATTAGTCCAGGTCTGCCACAGGGGCATCCACAGTCAGCAATTTGAGCATATTGCATGCTGAAGGTTTTAGGGAATAAAACTTAGACCATT